TCCAGAGGCTGGCTCTGCTCCCACCATGGTGTTGGACCCGGAGCCGGAATCCTCGTCTGAGAGAGGGAATATGTCACCCAGCTCCTGGTATCGCCTCATCCTGAAATGCAGAGAGGCATTTTTACGTCTTACATGAACATACCGAAGCTTCAGGCTACCGTGGGCGAGCCACGCTGTGACAGGACTGTCAAGGCAGGACTAATGGGCGTGTTTGGGTGCTGGCTTTAATGACAGATGCGTGTCAAATGAACTTACAGGGACGGGTCTGCCATGGGAGGAAGGATCCTGTTGGCTCCACCAGTGGGAAGGTAAAACCAGGGCCCCTTCTCCTCGATGCAGTTGGCGGACCACGCGTCAGGGCGGCACCTCACCCTCTTGTACCTTGCCCTCTGCATCGGAGCACCTGATGGAATCAGCCATGCGTTATTCACCAGGACCAGGGCCTCATTCACCAGCTCCTATTGACTTTATGAGCACCTAGTAAAGCTTAAAGCGATGGAGGAAAGTAATTTGTGCGGCCCTGATTGCTTAACCATGGAAGACTGAAGTAACCCTGAAGACTTCTTAAAATGGCTACTGATATCCTAAGTGACATCTTTGCGACCATCAGAGACATCACTCACGTCTCGCACACAGCACCAGGAAGTGCGTGAAAAAATCCTGTGGGAAACCACTGCCATCACAGCAAGGCTCATCCCAGCTCGGGACATGGCAGAGGGACCTGTGGGTTTGGCTGCCTGCAGCTCTCCTTGAAGCTGGTGGAGGTATGTGAAAATAATGTGAAAATCTCTGGGGACACAGCACCCTAATTCAGGCTGCCACTTAAATGTGGGTCTTCAGAAAATACCGAAAAGCTAAAATAAGGATCACACAATAAAGATAAAAGCGGTGGCATTTTGTCCTTCCCCTCAGTCTCATGTAATTAATTTTCCCTGAAGCCTCCTGGTGCATTCTCCACCTGTTGGCACTTCATCTATTTTTTTCTCAGTTTCTGTAATACTGTCATTTCTCTGTAATTACACTTTTCTACTGCCCTATATATTTCCATAATGTCCTGAATGACTTTCAGCTACCTCTTACGCTGTTCTGTAAGAGAAAAAATATTTCACGGGTGTAATTTTCTGCTGCTTTTACAGCGTGTTCCTTTTTCATACTTATTTTCTCCTCCTGGCATATTATTAAGGAGATTTTTTATAATAACGGTGGCAACACAATGAATAGCTGCAGCTAAAAAATTTGCAAATAAACAACTTCAGAAAAGCAGGCCATAGTCCCTCAAAGATCAGCCTCCAAGTAGTAATACTGAGAGCCTGTCACTGTCACAGCCTTTGTTTATGGAGAAATTACACTCTACATGCTTTAAAAGCAATTCTCTCTCACAAGAAGTAAATCCACGGAGCACATGTCATCATAAATCAGCATTTCCTTTTCGTAGTTTTAGTGCTGTGTGTTGCAATATTGTACCAAATAAACCGTTTAGTTTCCTCATACTTACAGCTAAGTTTCCTTTCCCGCTCCCCCCAGAAAGCAGAGTTATGACATGGGAACTGTTACATATTTTGTCTGTAGCTACATGACTGAGTAACAGCAGTAACCAGACAATTGTGAAAGGGACATTTAGAAAAATGCATATTGAAATATACAGACTGAAAATATACACACATCTAGCAACATACTTTACGAAGTCTTTTCTCATGAGGGCTGGGGCATTGAAATGCTCCACTTGCAAAAAGCACCTTTTCTTACCATTCTCCCTCCAGAAAATTAAATATTAGCATAACAGATTTTCAGAGTAGATCTCATTACCCCCAGAAGAAGGCCAGTTTGAAAAATTCAGAGACTGCCTGCTTGGCCTACACTGCATAGCCCAGAAAGAGGATTACGGAGAGAACAACCGCCCCGTTTTACCTTGTGCTGTGTATCCCACAAAGAGGATTAAACAAATAGCCAGGAAAATCCTCCCGTTACATCTGATAAGGAGCTGCATTTTGGCTGGCACCCCTCTGCTCACAACCAGCCTCCACCACTGCTTCACACTTCAGAAATACGGCGGAGCGAGGAGATCGACTTTTAGAAAAGGTTTCCAAAACCCCAAACCCAACCCATAACCTGCGTCACCGCTTCCTGACTGACGGCAGTGAGACATGTACAGAAAAGCCCAGTGCTCCGACCTCCCAGCCTTCATCACTCCAAGTCAAAAATCCCCTCTGCCCTCATCCCCAGCTGTGCCCGAGGAGAAAAGCAGACCCGAGACCCATCGGCCGGACTGCAGGCGGTGCTGCCGGCAGAGTGTGGTCCAGTGCATCCCACCCAGAGCGCTCCAGGGCATTGACTGTTTCCTCCAGGGAGAAAAAGCAGTGCTTCATGTTCCCCACTTTTCGGTCACCTGCATTTTTGCACTGGCACTGGCAGTGCTTTTCCCTGCCTCAAGCCCCATGCCAGCCCACCAGGAAGGTTAGGAGGGAGCTGCTCGCAGTCCGTGTGTGTTTCACCGGCTGGGGAATCATCTTTTCCCACAAGAGTAAATTATCTCTGGAGTCTCATGCCAGTTTTGGGTTTGTTTTTATGTGAAAGCAGCATTCACATGCTCACAGTAGAAGTGAGAAAAACGTATTAAGCTAGAGAATATATCCTGGTAGAGGTGTGTCAGCTCCTTTTTAGAAGGTCATAGTTGATTTGCGTGGCTGGATCATCATCATGTGGCACAAGCGTGCTGTGGAGCTTGACAAAAGGTTTGGACCACCTGTGGCTCCACAAGGAACCTGACTGGAAAGCCATGGAAGCCCTTATATAGATAGACAAATGGATCTGCTTCTCACCTGGCTCGACCCTTTTGCTTGCTTTCTGGTTGTGATTAATCCAGGCTTGAGTTCGCTTCAGGAATAAATTACAAACAACAATGTTGTCAAAGCACTGGGGGTTTTTCTCAATCTGCTGGATTCCCTGGGGCACGGGCGTGTGGGCCTGACGTGCTGCAGCACCTTCAGTATAAGTTGTCTGTGGTAAATCTGTTTTTACGTGGCAGAAAGTCCACCAAGGCTCCTGGTGGGGGATCTGGGCTGAGTGCTGACTTTCCCCAGAGCACGGCCTTCCACCAAAACCCCATGAAGTGGCAGGAAAGGCCCCTCCAGCAGCTCCCTCCCCTCTCTGTGCTGGGATTTACCACCGGACTAAGGGATTGAGTTGCACATTCAGCCTCGGTGCAATTTATTATGAGCCTCTGCACACAGGGGGGGAGTTTTCTGGCACAGGAAAAATAAGAAACTCCGACCAAGCAAGCGAGGAAGGACTCACATGCAGTGGTTACTCTCAGCAGACTCATTTCTACTTTGTATTTTTAGCATCAACTCTTTCTTCTTTCCTTTTTGTTTGAGACGGTGCTCAGCATCAATAGGAAGCTGGGCAAACCCGTGTGGGAGGGGAGGGGAGGGGAGGGGATCAGCCTCCACCTGCTGAGGGCTGCGGAAACTGTCCCTGCAATAACACCTCTCATTTTCCACCGCTCACGGGTACACGCTGACCCCTTCCACACCCCTGCAGCGTGCACAAACAACACCCCAGGTGGGACAGCACCCCTCTGCTGGCTGTTTTTACCCTTCCCCCCAGCCCAAGGCATTTTCCACCATTGGCACTGGAAGCCCCACGGGATACAGCCAGAGCAACGCCCACCATGGGCATGGCTGTGGATGGGCGGGGATCCTGCAGGAGCCAAGGGAGCTGCAAACCCCCTGTATCTGGAGGGGAATCTCACAGAGCTGAGTTATCTGTCTTGTACCATCAGCTGATGGGGGAACTTGTAGTACTGGCACTTTTGCCACAGTTTTGTTCTTTTCTTTTGTGTCAGCAGCACGCCTCAGGAAATGAGATCACCTTAGGTTTGGCGACTGTGGGAAGACCAAAGCAAATTTTCACTCCCGTCTCACGTATACCTGCATAAGGGGGGCCTGAAGCCTGCAGGGAGGGTCAGCCTGTGCCCATCTCGTGTCCTGCTGTGCTCCACTGATGCCTGCACTCTGCTATGCTTGGCTTCCTACGAACGTGGAAGTGATTGGAGACCTGGATCTGAAACAGTCTGGGATGTGCAAGTCTTAAAAGTAAAGCACGCCCTTTGTGGAGTGTCATGGGATGCCCAAGGAACACCATCTGTCAGCCACTCAGGACACAAAATTCAAATAATCAGCTCAAATAAAAAAATCTCTGCTTGGGCTAAAGGCCACAAACTGCTAGAAGTTAACACACTTTTTTTAAATAGAGAACAGCACATGAGCTATACTATATTGGAACGTTAACCTTGAAACATGCCATGGCATAGCTATGAGAGCTTAAGAGAAACAGGATTTTAAGTTAAATATTTTAAATCCACAGAGGAGAGGACAGTCACCATACCTAGGTCAGCTACCTCAAATCTGCCCTCCATAAACTGCAAGGAAGGTTCACAGGGTAATACTCCTGTGTATATAGACCAGATTATTAAATACCCCAATAGAATAGGTCTGTAAAAAAGAAGAAAATAAATGAGGAGCACGTATTTGAGAACACAGCTCCTGGAGCATTGCTTACAGCTACAGCACTGAAGTGCTGCCGTTATTTTCAAATCACATGCAAAGCAGATTTCTTAATCTGCAAAGCTCTTGCTTTGCATTTTTCTAAGGCATTAATTTGGGGAGTGGGGAGCAGGTGGAGGGAGGGAGCTACCCTGGCACTGTGCACCCAGCCCCTTGCCCAGACACCCAGGACTTTTCAGTTGTGTGCCAGAAAAATCTGGGAGCAGATTTGAAGCCATAACAAACGCTTCAAAATCTGAAGTGATGAACTGCTCCTTAGTTGTAATTCTCAGGGCTGTATTATCTCCCAACTCAGGAGTAAAGACTAATTTAGTAACATCCCTAAACGTGGACCACACTGCAGGAGTGCCTGGTATGAGGACATCCCTTCTGCTGATGAGGGCAGGGAATGTAGGGCAGAAGGAAAACCCAGCAGTAACCCAGAGGGGCATCATGGGGGTGCTTCAGCCAATTCTTTGGACACAGCCCCTGCTCTGCTCTCGCCCAGGTAAACGCTGAGGGAGCAGCTCAGTCTGGAGGAGTGGTCTGACAGAGTGGTCTGACACAGCTGTGTCAGGCTGCTCTCTCTGCTGCCTTTCCTCCCCAGGCAGCACCAGTTTACTTGGCAGCCTGTATCTGCAGCCAGCACTCAGATGGACAGATAGGCTCCCGTGGGTGCAGGGTCCCCGTGCTTATCAGCAAGGCTCGCAGGCGAGGCACTATCTGTCCAGGCGGGGGGTCCTGATAAGGAATTTTCTCATTCATAACTGCTCAGAAATCAGATCAGCCCTAACTGCTATGGGGTCATTCTGCTCTCAGGGGTCAGGTTTTCCCCTGCCCTAGCTGATGGGAGCTCGGTCCCGGCTTCTGTGGGAATCCAAGCTGAGCCCTGCACCCCTCAAACACGCACTCCCAGAGGAGCAGCAAAGCTGGCAGATGGCTGGAGCAGCCAGGGCTCCTGTGGTGCTGGGCCCTGCCGTTGATGCTCTGCTCGTTATTTGCTCCGCTGAGAAAGCGGAAATTCTTATTTTGTACAGGTCACAGATCTGGGGAGCAGCTGGTACATCTGTTACAGGCAGAGCTGGAAATGGGAGTCAAGAGAGAACGATGGCAACAGAAAAAAATACAGGTCAGATTGAGCACAGGGAGAGCATCTGAGTGGCAGCTGGATTCAACACAAGGAGCATTTGTTTTGCCCATATTGTCTTTTGGGAATGCAGAACAGTTTTCTTCCCTGACACTCACTGCTGAGGTAGGGTGAGATTCATCAGACCTGGACATCAGATAGGCCCTGAGCATGTTGATCCACCTCAGGAAGAACCTATAAGCTGCCCTGTTAAATGCCCCAAAATCACGCTGATGCCCCTCGGAAGTGAGCTCCCTCCGGGCAAGCAGCCCAGCTAGATTTAAGGATGCTTTCTGCCACCAGCTCATATTCAACCAATCAACCTTTGGTGGCTGCTGTTCTGAGGCAGGATACATTTTAACTGGCAACCCAGAGAGGGAGGTTTGGGTCCACCTAAGGGGATTTCTAAATCTAGCCCTGAGTAAAACTTAATTCTGAACCTGGATCACATCTGAGCTCAGCACTTGACCCCTGTGTTCACCCTGCACCCAGAGCATCACGGCCCATCAGCAGGGCAGGACGTGGCACCCCCGGCCTCTCACGCCACTGCCTCTTGCCTCCGAGGGCACTATCGGGACCTGGCCAGGCAGATAAGATTCACATCTCCTAAGAAAGTGCCAGCGCTCATCACGTAGAAATCAGGCACTTGCTGCCATCTAGATCACATAGAGGAGCAACTCCTTGTTTCTTCCCATGACTAAGATCAACAAGTCCACCAGGAGAGATTTTGCTGGAAAGCCACAGCTGCGTCAAGATCCGACACAGCCGCCGACTGACAGGAAGTTGCCAACGGCCTTACCCCATCAGCAATGTCCCTTTTCTGCCAGAAACACCAACCAAGCAACGGGCCTGTCCTTCAGGTGGAGAAGAGCAGCTTGCCTCGGTGCTGGAAAGTGCCAGGCTTTCTGATTCCTCTTCTGAAGCCCAGTGCAGCAGGAGGTTTTGGCTGGCAAATTCAGGACTGTGGTTTAAAAGTGACAACTCATTAAGACATGACACAGCAGCCAAGCTCTGGCTTCTGATTAGCGAGGCAATTACAGCAGCTGTCTGTCCTTCTTTAACACTTCATCCCAGAGCAGCACCAGCCTAATGAATGGTGCAAGCAGGACCTGCACAGAGGAGTGAGGGGGCAGGGAGACCCCTTCACAGAGCAGTTTGTTGGAAAAACACACCTAAACCCACAAGGAATTAACAAGGGAGAGAGGGATGAAGGGACAAAGATGTTTTTGAAGCAAAGCCTGATGCCCTGTTCCTTTTCTTTTACCCCCTGCATTTCACCCACGGATCTCACAGTAACTGTCTGACATAAGCATTTTTACTCCTTTTACAGTATCCAGTGACTAACACCAGCTCACTCCATCACACGCCCATCCCAATCTCTCACTTTCCAATTCCTGTTTCAGCAGAAAATTGCATTAAAACCCTTAAACA